CTCTTTCGCTTTCCGTAGCTCAGTAACGACCGAAGTTCCGAATCCGTTTTATTTATCTTTTTCTTTTCACCTTTACCTCCCACTCGCACTCTGTCTTCATCTACCTTCATCTAAATCTCTTTCCTCCCCCTTCTCCCTGGTATTCCGCTTTTTCCCTTGTACTTCTCTTTGTATCTTTTCCTTTCTCTATTTGTCACGCTGTATTTTCCCTTATTATCCCTTCACCCTTGTTCTCTTCCATCCTCCTCTCTCTCTTTCACTTTCCGCAACTGAGTAACGAGCGCAGCTCCGAATCTTCTCTCCCACGTTTTAGCTCCGATAACACGTTCTCCAATAGGATGCACGTGGCCGCGACTGATATAGAAGATCGTCCGTCCGAATTCCGCCCCTGTTCCATCGAGGAACGTCCGGATAGAACGCGTGCACCACCACCACCGCCACCACCACCGGCAGATAATTCAGTGAGATCTAGCTGGCTGCCGAACCCTCTTCACTACAGCGCGTTTCAAGTCGAATTCCCCTTCGATACGTGAAATATGTACGGCGCTTCGGCGTCGATCATTCGAGCCAGGGAGGTTTTCGATGCTGTATCTTGCTAGCAAGATGATCAACCCTTTTATCGGTTATTCGGTTACTTGGTTATTTGTATTCAAAATAAGTTTCCTTCGATTATTCACATTTTTCGTTATCGTTCACTTTAAATGGTATTTGTATATTGAAAAGAGAAATATGAGTATACTTCGTTCATATTTGAATACTTATAGAAATGGCACTTTGCCTTTAATACCTTTTATATAAAAAGATACGTTGAAAATGTTATTTTCGACTTTCTTGAAACTGATGAGCATTCGGGAATTCTATTAATGATTTATTAATAGACACTATTACTGAATTTTAGAGTAAAACTCAAGGTCTGCCATTTTTGTTATCTGTTCAGTGTTATTTCTGTTCGGTTCATTCTTGCTGCCGCGTAATTGACTGCTGTTACTCGACGGAATACGGCAGACGAGGCTCCTAATACGATTCTCGTCTGACGGACGATCGATTCTGTCACGGTCCGCTAATTTTCTGCTCCTCGAAGGATATTGTTAGCCCTTTGAGATATGGGGAGAGCGTAGTTTCATCATTTCCGCGAGCGAGGTAAGTTTAAGCTGATCATCGAGCTAACGAACCATTCTTAGCGGATTAATCGGTTTCGACTGGCGAGAAACTAATGAGCAATACGAGCGTTTTTTAGGGAAGTTTTGTTGCTTGTTGAATTGTATAAAAGTGCATTCGACTCGTTGAATATTCATTGTTTTCAGAGGCACGACTATATGAAATTGTCTGTTCATTGTAAATTGTTCTTTCTAGCAATTTCTTGGAGTCACGAAAAGAATAGTCGAAACGTACGAGAAATAAATAATAAATACAATTTATAATATATATTTTGCAGATATGTTTCGTATTATTATTTTCTTAAAATTATGACACTGAAAGAACGTTGAATAATTGGGCTAAATTTTTGTCACGAGTGTAGCAAATCCAAATTTGTAATAGCTATCGCGAGAGGATCTCGTGCGGTTCACTTGTCCAGCAGATAATGAATATCCAGCATCTCTGCCACGGGCACAAACGTCAGTTCCAGCCTCATTACTTTAAGTTTCCTCGACGTTGCAGTATTCCCGTATAGGAGTAAACGCTTGGCAGTAATTTATACAAAACACTTGTTAACTGCCATTAAATTACAATCAACTGCACACGTGCTTTCCTCAAGTGTTCCAATTCAATATTCTCGAAAACGAAGTGTCGCGGAAAATATATCCGTCTCGCATAGTGCGTATATCAGAAACCACTTAAAAAATACTTCCCAGAGAAACTAATCGCTTATTGTGAACCTCCATTGAAATGTCTTTTCACCCAATAATTTGGAAATGTAATAATAACTTGAAATAACAATAACTCCGGATGGCGAATATAATAGCTTGAAACAGAAGAATTTGCAAATACAAGAATTTTCAAATACAAGAATTTGAGATATAACAATTAGAAACAGAAGAATTTGCAAATACCAGAATTTGAGATACAACAGTTAGAAACAGAAGAATTTGAGATACAATAAGTAGAAACAGAAGAATTTGTAAATACAAGAATTTGAGATACAACAATTAGAAACCGAAGAATTTGCAAATACAAAAATTTGAGATATAACAATTAGAAACCGAAGAATTTGCAAAAACAAGAATTTGAGATACAACAATTAGACACCGAAAAATCTACAAATACAATAATTCAAGGTAAAACAATTCGCACATATAATCATTTCAATTAGACAAATTCGCAAACACAAAAATCCCACATAAAATAATTTCCAAATACACCAATCAAAGATGAAATAATTTCCAAAAATAATAATAGAAGACAACCGAAGAACACTCGAAACCCACGCGAGAACTTCAAGAAACCATACTCCCAAATAAACCAGTCACCGAAAACGAAGACCGTAGTAATCGTTGCGATTCACGGAAATCGGCTAGAGCACATCGTTCGATCGACGTTCGTTTGCCGAGGCAATTTAACCGCGTCGTTCGATGTTTGAGCGAGAGCTGCTCGTCCCGATAGCGCCGTACTGCTAATTCCTGGGCAATCATTATAACTCGTCTCGTTCCGTTTCAAGGATGAAATCTTTTTCCGTGGGGGGATGATCGATCGTGTCGCGCGCGTGCCGCCAGCATCCAACCACGGGGTGCATTGAAAAAGCAATTCCGAGCAATTAGCACGCGAGGACGAACGAGAGGAACTCAGGATCCCCGATAATAATGAAGAGAGAGTCCTGGCCGGAGCATATATCCATTAAATTGCATGCACTCGATTTAATGGCTTGACTCGTTGCCACGAGCACTACACCGACCACTCGAGTTCGCGTGCTCGAGCGCCCTTCCCGGAGAATCCACGGGATTGTTGCGCTTTTAAGGAATCGAGGCTCGCTCATTTCACCGTCAGAATTCGATCAGTCCCTTTCTTCGATGATCATCGCGACCGTATTTATTTACGGACTGGAAATTCCCATCGAATAAAATTTATTCTTTGTAAAATTGAATCGAGAAGTTTTTTCACTCGAGACTTCGTCTTTGAGAATATTGATTGTGGCATGAGAAAGTAATTAACACTTCGTACTTCGTTCAATATGGCTTCAATGTTCAGTGTTTTGATCATTCGGTTAGGAAAAGGCTTTCGTTTATTAAAGATCGAGTGTTTAGTTCTATATCTTTAGTGTGTAAATATTTATAAATCGTTTCTAAAATTTCGAAATATTATTTTGTTTCGTGATGTTAATATTTTTCGTTACTTCGGATTCTCAACTGTCGTCTATAATATATTTGCTTGTAATGGCACTCTTGAGTCAAAGTCGGACACTTCGTGAAAGAAACCGTTTCAAGGCTGGTGTAATGCAGCCACGTTTGATTAATCAAGATTGGAACTAACTCTCGGCAGTTCGTCAGATAGATGCTTATATTCAATTACCATTTCGATCTGAAACACGAAGCACTCCTCCTTCGCCTATGAAATTGAATATCAGTCTCCTGCATAAACCAGTTACAGAGCCGGAAATGCTGGTAAATTTAATAACGTTATAATTAAACGTAATATATTAATGAGTTTTGATACACGATCGGTACGGCGCACGACATATCAGATTCCCGTTCAATTTCTTCCTCCGAATATTCGCATAATAAGAACTCCAATTACCCTGAGTATTCGCCGAATTTCTTATTACCAGATAATATCCATCGTGCCTCCGAAGATATTAAAAAACTCCAGTTTCTAAACCTAGTATTAAAACATCAAACTGCATTCGTTGAAAACGATGCACTGTCATTTCTATCTTCGCTCATTTGCCATTACCAGAACTTTGCGTTTGTTCTCATAAAACATATTCCTATATGTTTCTCTTTTCTCTGCTGCACGTTGCACAGCGAAGAATTTTTATCAAGGAAAATTCAATGAAAACATGTTTCAGAATCGAGACACCGTTGCCGGAAAAAATATAGAATCATCCTTTCAAGTGACCGATCAATTGTCCGAGCACCGTCGAACGTTTCCGAGCACATTGACGATCCACCGTTAAGCCCGACCACCGCCATCGATCTGCCACCCAATTTCGATCTTATAGCTAACCAGTAAAATATAAAAGGTACTCATCCTGATCAGCCTTGATTCTCTCCACGACGAGGCGTGTCGGTCATCGGCAGAACACTCCGTTCCCCAAGAATCTTCCTCATCCTTTAAAACGACCGGCGCGCTGGCAACGGTGCACTTCCAGGTGACACAGTTGCGGACGCGCCATTCCTCTCGAAAAAAAACTAACTAATCCTTTTCAATGGAACTGCTCGATTCGAACCTTCCCTCGACGTCTTCGCAAGATGCTTCTCGATCTCCCGCGTTGACCTTCTTCGAGCGACACCCTTTAATCCCCTCAGACCTGGCGCCTCAAATTGCAAATGTAGAATCAGAAACAATTAACGCTATCCCTGCACCCTTCCCCTAACACCAAATTTCAAAACAATGAAAGTAAACATTTCCCTGAAATCAACCCCTTGCCTTAGAATATTCCACAGCATTAAATCCAATGAACGCAAATATCCGGTCGAAACCAAATACCCAAGAGACTATAATAGCCACCATATCCTGAAAAACAAGGAGTCCAAGGCAAGGAGTGAAACGAGCCCCAGGTCTGAAGGGATCCCAATGTCCCAGCTGAGAAGCCGAGTCATCAGAATCTAAAAGCCAATCATCTCAACGTATCCAGCATCCCTCGGACCAGCCGAGTAGTCAACTCATCGGATGATCCTCTTCGTCTTGCCCAAAGGATTTTCTCGAAGTAAACGAAACTTTCGAAAATAAACCCTCGCGCTCAGCATCCCTAGGAAACGGACTGTTCTCGTGCACGCTGATCATCATCTGCGCGCAAGCTGCTCTTCCCCCGTGCCAGACGGTCCTGTGATCCTCTACGACGGCTATTCTTCGGGCCAGCCGAGATCCTCGCCCACGAGCTCGTAGAATCGTTGGTTGTGCTCGTTGAAGAACCTCCTGAGCTTGGTGACCACCACGGGGCTGACCCTCGGGTGCCGCCTGCCCTTGCTCTCCTTCAGGCATTTCTCCGAGGTCTCGTTGCGCAGACAGTAGAAGCCCTTCGTGTGGTTGAAGTAGAAGTTGTGCCTGCCGATCCGCGGCTCCAGCCCCAGGAAGCTCTCGATCCTGCGCAGCTGGGGCACCGGGTCCTCGATCAGCTGGTCGCCGTTCACTATCAGTATCTGCTCCCTGGAGAACACCTCCAGCCACCTGTGCATGTACGTGTGGTACAGGGAAATAGCGACCGGCCTGTAAGACTCGTTGATGCTGCCGTCCGGCCTTATCACCAGCTCCTCGAAACTTCGGGCCGCCTGCTGCTGCTGCTGTTGCTGTTGCTGCTGCTGCTGCGAGACGCTGCGCGGCGTGCCGTTCGTTATCGTCGACGCGGTCGCGGCGTTCATCCGCAGCTGGGTGTAGTCCGATATCGCCCTGGTTACTGGCTCACGGACGATTAGCAGCAGCTTCACGCTGGCGTTCATCGCGCGGATCCTCTCCGGCACCTGGAACACGGTTTTTCAGAGCGGTTTGCGGGACGTGGGAGCTGTGGTTGCTGATGTTTGGGAAATGGCTGTTTGCGATGGGCGATAATAGTGATTGATAATGGTTGTTGTAATATTATTGTTGAACTATTACTAATGCTGAGATAGCGAAACCGAGAATTCCGAATGTTCATGTAACTTTAGTCTAAACAAAGGCGATAGCAACCGGATGTATCTGGATTTTGTCGCGTGGTTTTCAAAGGCGTTATAATAATGTCACACTGTAGAGTATATACTGTTTCATTATTTAATCACCCATCTTTAATAATTGTTATGAGTGTAATGTTACGCGTTATGTACTAGTTATTGTATAATTATAATAAATATTTATATCTTTCGTTAGGAATTCAGCTGCAAAATAAACGATGATTGTATCTTGAAAGAGAAAGTACGACTGTAAATTTTGTATGAAATAATTGAACTCTTTTAGCTTTTATTCTCGACGAAGAGGAATTTATAGGACGGTATTTATTTAGAAAGTCTGTGAAATATATGGAAGTGTGTTAGGGAATTAGAAAAATGATCAGTGAGTAACGTAGCTCGAAGGTAACAGCGGGTGTCATGAAAACGCGAGGTACTCGCGTTCCTTGTAGCCCGAATCGATATAACGCGCTCTCAAGTAGCGTTTGTTTACATTTACCAACGCAGTAATGCGTATTTCAATTACCGGGGTATTCTCCTAAGTGTTCGCCACAGTTATCGCGTTCCTCCACTATCACGCTCGGAGGTATTTCAATTTTCAGATTATGCGAGACAAGAATTACCCGAACGCAACAGTTCTCGCTTGTTCCGGGCTACTCTTTCCGAGAGAATTATTTAAACAAGACAAGGCAAACATCTTACAAAAATGAGAAGCCCTCTGATGTAAAGCTTAAAACAACAACCTGAAAATAAGCTACTTCGCGAAGGGTGCTTGCATCGTCAATCTACTCTTTCAAAATGAACAGCGTACAAAGGTAGAGAACACTGTTGCCGCTTCTAGAGTAACCCAAAACGTACAAATATTTCCAATCGATCGAAATACCTTCGAAAGACCAAAAACTAAATACTCTAAACATAAAACTTAACATTCTGAAAATAGGTCAAGACATCTTCGAAACGACTGAGAAATCTTCGAGATGATCATTTCGACAATCACCCATTCTAGTCTAATTTTTAGATTGCAATAAATTATCAACGCCTTCCTCGAAACGACTGCAAAATCTTGAAGTTGATCATTTCGACAATCGCCCATTCTAGTCTAATTTTTAGATTGTAATAAATTATCAACATTGCCGCGCCCCTCAATCGATTAAAATCTTTACACGTTCGCTAGCGCTTATTTCGCCGACAGTTTTCTCAATTGCAATATTATCTACAATGCAACAACTCTAAACAAAACATTAGGAAAATGAAACTGAAACAAGTCACTGAGTTCCTAAATACAATGTCGGAGTTTATCATTCCTAATAACAATATCTATAAGATTAATTTCATTTTCTTTATGTAAAATATAGAATCACAACTGTCAGAAATATGCGATGCAGGTAGCAAACGTGTTAAAAAACCTTCTTAAAAAAAAATAATACCAAAACCTAACCGAGAACTTCATAATCATCATACTCCAAAAAACGCCATTAAAGGTCACAACTCAAAAGCGAAAGCAAAGACACGACTGACTCGAGAAGATCAGAACGCATAAAAACTAAATCCCGAAAAACAAGCTAACAACAGAATGCTCTAGAAACCCGACGAACTCTTCCAGCAGCCGCGATACTTCGCTCACCTCTGGCGTGACGAAGTAACTGGGGCTCTTCTCGATGGTGATCTGCCCCCTAAAAGAGTAGGGCATCTTCCTTCGGTACCACTCGAGGCCTTTCCCGTAGTTGTCGTCGCGGTCGAAGAAGTGGACCTCGCCGGCCGCCTTCTGGATCTGCGGATGAAGGAACAGCATCTCGAGCAGGGCCCTGGTGCCGCATTTCCGCACCCCGATGATGATCGCCTGAGGTAGATGACGGCTGGTGCGCGGGAAGTGGACCTTGCTGGAGAAGAGCAGCGGCGGAGTCGCGCGGACCTGCGAGACCAGCTCGACTGCACGGCCCTCGACGGCGGACGCCGCGTGCAGGCTGTACACCGCGCTGTCGTACAGTATGTGGAAGGTCAGAAAGAGGGAGAGGAGGACGACCGTGAGGAAGGCGGCGGCCATCTTCGGTCTCGATATGCCGACCACTAGGATGCAGTCCGAAGCGTCGCCCTCGGCCGGCCTCATGGCGGAGCGGGACATCCACCTGTTTACGTTATTTATCATTGAATTTGATCGCACGTGAAATTTCAGAGTATATGTAAATGTTACGGTGAATGTGATTAACCCTTTATATGTTGCCACTTTATTACGAGTCGAATTACGGGGACTCTGTTCACCATTTTGATGCTTATGTTGCAGGAGCGGTTCGTGGTACAAATAGGTGCCATAAAATAAGGAATCTAGGAAAATTTCGAAAAAAGTTCTCAATAATTGTTTTTTAAAGTATTTCTAATATGTATACGGTAGGGAATACGAATTATCATCGAAAAAGTAATTTGCCCTGTAAAGGGTTAATCCGGTGATTATGCATAATTGTCGGTTATTATACAGGGTGGAAATTATAAAGTCGAATATCTCCGAAAATATTGATTATACGCAAAAATGTTTCAGACGAAAGTTGTTCGATACCGAGGGGGACATCGCGTGGCGGAATTTCTATTTTCCCTGGTGGACACTCCAAGGTGAGGTGAAGGTAAACTTTCGTTTTTAAATGGAATGACACGTTTTTTTATCCACCGTCAACGCGTGTGCAGGTCTCTTATGCGCTGCGCGTACGCAGCTCGGTGAAAAGTTCGAAATCCCGGGTAAATACTCCCCCTTTTCTCGTGGCCGAGCCGCCGAAACCTCTCAGCGGCGCGGCGGTCTCCTTCGAATTCGACGGCACGCGTGCCGGCGGCACGCAATATCGGCATTAGTTGCACGCGCCGCCTATAATTTATGCGCGCCATGCCACAAGAATTATTAAGACCGTCGTACTTACTGATCATTACATGAATACTGATAAGAACGGGTTACACGGACGTTGGCATGCGTTCGGGCAGGCCGCGCTCTACGACTTCATCGAATTTCATTCGCATTCGTCTTCCGTGTATAATTGCCGGCGCGGCCGCGCCGGGTTAAAGACTTCGGGATTTATTAGCTTGTAAACGATCAAAGAAACTGATACCAATGTTTTTCTTATTTATTACCCTCGCCGAGAAGAGTTTCCACGTTATCGAACGTTGTTTCGTGCGTTTCGTGAATAACGTTAACTGGGACGGATTAACTTCTTGCCCTATATCGAAACTATTTTATCGTTGGTTCATGATTTAGTGGACGTGAAGAAGAATTCCGTACGTTGTCTACATATACTATGGATATTAATATCGATAACAGATATGTAACATTTCATTTTAACTCGGGATAAGTGTTCACATTTGATAATTTCTTAACTCTTTGCACTCGAGCTGTTTCTCACTGACATTACCAGCAACTCGAAGTAATTTTAATAAAAGCGTATTAACATATAAATAAGTGATACGCGCATGAAGAAGTCATAGATGTATCTTACCGGTTTCTGTAGATTATAAATATAAATGTTATAATACATTTAATAACAAAATTTTACAGTTTGTAACGACAAATTCTATTCTGTTAATTTCTGAATTATAGAAGATAGTCTAGATTCGCGATTTCCAAGGCATCTGAATTTTCAATCAAAAATTAATGCTCATACCTTAATATCTACAAATAAATAAATTTCACGTCGTAACGTAAGAGTACAAATTCAGTAATATCTATTCTATACTAAAGTTATTATTATTTAAAACGTATTCCCTGCGATTTCACCAACAAATGGAAAACATTCTTTCCAGACCTCAAATCTGAAAACCTTCAAACATAATCAAACCAGTAGCATTCACAATTAACCAGTTAACTATGGAATTTAATTGGAAAAACCTTTAGTTCTGCGCGCAATAAAATCTATATTTTAATGAATGATCAAAACGACACAAAGAGGAATTACATGTTTACGTGAAACGATAAAGAATTCATCGCTGAAAGAATTAGTATCGTGTCAAGCTTTACCATGTATACTCGCCAAACACAGTTAACTGGTTAATTACAGAGGAAGATGAAAGAAGCGATCAGCGTGAACGATTTGCGAATCTATATTCCCTTCGTTAACCGAGGATTATATTTCAACGAAAGTTCCGTGTTTAAGTTCCCAGCGCGAGGTAACGCGTTCAATGAGACTCCGCGAGATTTCCATCAGATTAAGGCTCTTTCCATTCCAATTCCACCCGATCGGTAAACAGAAAAATCGAAGTTCCCGTAAACTTCCACGGTTCGACGATGAGACCGGCGTCACGTTCGTTTCCGCGACCGTGTGTACTCTCGGCTAAGGATTCCCGGGGAAAACCGGCGGCAGACTCCGGCTCTCGCGTAGCCTGGTTAAGCGTGTACCAGATTGTAATTGAAATGTGATAAAATAAGTGAAGCCGAGGAAACGGGACTGTTCGCGGGGCGGAGTATTATTCTCGGGTTGCGTAACTGCTGGAGCTCATTAGGTTGCTGGCTCGATCGAGCCTCGTTCGCCGAGGATTTAGGCGACTCGCCTCCTAACGAGAGACATTACTTAACACTGGAGCTACCGGATCTTTCAAAGTGACGGGTTTCATCCCCCCTATCCCGGGATTATTGATATTTGACAGATTTGGGATGAAATGCTTTCAAAATGGAGAAGTTTCAAGGGAAATCTTAATCTTAAGTTTTGATTAGAATTTTTGGAAGAAATTTAACATTCTATTCTACTTTCAGTGGAAATTTCGTTTGAAGATAATACATTCATAATAGCAAAACAGTTTCTTGCTTAGAATTGATCTGAGAATCTTAGATTTCAAAATGGAGAAGTTCCAAGAGAAAATCTGTTAGAATTTTTATAAGAGTTACGTGTTAATCTCTTGTCATACTATTTACTTTCGTCGATGAGCTCGTGGAGTTTAATTTCGATAATTTGGAAGAAATTTAGCAAACATTCTGTTCTAATTTCAGTGGAAATTTCGTTTGAAGATAATACATTGATAATAGCAAAATAGTTTCTTGCTTTGATATGTGGGGAATGAACGTCATTGAGTTTTGTTGAATTGATCTAGGAATCTTATATTTTAAAATGGAGAAGTTCCAAGAGAAAATCTGTTAGAATTTTTATAAGAGTTAGGGATGAAAAGTATGTTTCGTTTAATAGCTTGAAAACTAATTCGGCAAACTGGTTTGTGATCGTTGTTTTAACGAGAATTTTGCATGGCCTAATGAGAAATTGATTGTAATATTAATAAGAATTGGAAGCGAGTATTTTTGTGGACGTTAGAGAGAGTTCGATTTCCAATTCGTTACTTTCAAGGGAATCAGAAGTTAGTCGGTCTTTTAGTAAAATATTTTGCAGAAAGCATTTAATTACAAGTTCCAACAGAAGTTAAGGGAACACTGTGAAACTTAAGACAGATTAAATCCCCTTATGAGCGTCTCCGTAATTAGAATTTACCTCGGCGATATTGCCAAGATCAGATTATCCTTTTCCGCCCCAAAACTTATTCGAACTTTGTTAAAACTTTCAAATAAACGGCCAAAAATCTTCGAAATTTTCACTAAAAACTGTATCGCGCTTTAACAAAAGTAAGTCAACATTCATTCGCGTTCGACTAACACACAGAAGAGTCGTTCTTATCATCGTATCAACGTGTAAACATATTGAATCCATCTCTGATAACAATTTTACAATTTCACAAAAACATTTCGCGTTGTTCCTACTAAAAAATCATTCCTTTGCAAGATAAAACATAAATAAAATTTATTCGAGAATGATTATACATAAAATACATATAACCATTTTAAAAATTAATTTTCAATATTAAACTAGAGATAGTTACCTCACTCGATGATAACCTCCAATCAAACAATTTTAATCAGCCCACGTCGACTCTGTCTTCCGTGTAAAACACTGCACCACTATCGATGTTTTTTTGAAACACAAATGGAAGAAGGGGGAGAAGGTGTCCGAATGTGAAAAATGAAAGGCTGAGCGTCCGGCGTAATTAACAGAGGGATCAGTTTCATCGGGATAGAAATCTGCTGAATGATTAACGGGCCGGGAGAATTAATAGCGGCGCCGTTTGCGCAAACTGCATCTCGAACACGGTCGAGTTTTATCGATACTGCTGGTAACAATAAATCAACCGAGGAAGGCCCGCATTCATTCTTGCGGGACGAACGGATCTTTCGGGAAAAAGAAAACGTGCGCGAGATAAGAGTAATCGCGTCGGATACGCCGACATCGACCGCCCTGATACAAGTGTCTGTTAAGTGAGATTAATTAATCATTTTCCTATGCAATTACAACGAATACCGCGTGTATGATCCTAACGAGCACTCGGTTCAACGATTACTGGACGGGCGTCCGCGTATTCGTGACGCTTTCTTCGCCGCGAAACGGAAATTTCAATAGAAATTTCGTGAAACACATCCACACGAAGATGAGATTCTTCATTCGGTTGTTTAATAACTTCGGAAGATTTGAGAATTTTTAAAATTATTACTATTAATATATACAGATTATTTGATTCTTCCATTTGCTATTTCAATTGCAGAATTTGATAAGAGTTTTCTAGATACAGGACAAATTAGAAAGAGTTGAGCTTCTAAATCACGTTCACGTATTAATCAGTTTGATAATTAATAATTTCATTACAGTTCGATAATTAATAATCTCATTTCCTTAGTAAGGCATAAGTTCGTCATTAACCGTTTGGATGCTCAACTTTTGTGGATATTTACCAAAAATGCGGAAGTGATTGGGTGTGTGCAAAAAAATTAATAAGAGCAGTTATCTAACGAGATCACAAATATTGTGTTATTACAAAAAATAATATTTATTCGAATAAATTTACTTTGATTTATTTCTTGAAGAACATAGTAAGAAAATGATAATTGATGCTAACAACACAAGAAGAGCGCTATAGCGGTCCTCAGCACTCAAACGATTAAAACCATGCAATGTTTCCACAGAACGTGTCAACCCCTTCAAACCTGATTTTCGCAGAAAACGACTTAGCAACAAAAGCTCGCCATTCAATGCACCACCAGTAACGACGTCTGTTTTCAATAAGAATATCATAGTACATTACTTTCCTAATAAAAATAAGCTTCAACCAAAAGCGTATACACGGTTGCCCGTCATAATTCGAATATTTCACCACACATGAAAATGGTGAAACCGTGTACAGTATAATCTGCGTCAGGTTTGAAGGGGTTCAACGCGATCGCGACGGAAGAATTGTGTCCGATGTTATTGCACCGCGAAACCCATCGCTCGATATCGTTCGAACGGTTTCGCAACATGTCCGCGAATCGCCGCGAGTGAGGACTGCTTAAAAAAGCACGCGGACGTTTTGACGTCGATAAGGGAATAGCCGGGAACCTATGACAACCCGATCTTTCACGTTCTACGTGATCGCAGAGCTCGGGCGGACGCGTTTTCCCCGAGAAAATTGCGCCCGCGACTCCGCAACTCTGGAAACGTTAGTTTCATTGCTTCCGCTGGAATCGATAAATCAGCCCAGGTGTACGCTGCTTCCGCCTCCGGGCGAACAAGAACAAACCGCGATATATGTACCGCGGTACGGTACAGACCGGTATCAAGCGAGGATAATCGGGTGAAAAACAATCGACTTCGATCATGTCTGTGATAATGTCTCAAACGCCAGCGAATCTCTTCTTCTGAGTATCTTTATGTAGGTTTCTGAAATCTTACACACGATTTTTTAGAGCGAGAGAAGTGCAGTGATTGTGAAATGCTTGAATTTAGATTATAGGTGAATATGAATTCGTTTTAAGGGATAGGGATATATTAATACTGTATTTGTATTGAATTTCAGAAGTTCTGATCGTTATAGTTTTCCTTCAGTATACGTCTTTTTCTAAGTATCTTTTTGTAGGTTTTCGAAATCTTATACACAGTTTTTGAAATTTGTACACTTGAATCATGGAGATTTGGTAGCGAGAAAAGTGCAGTGATTGTAAAACGCTTGAATTTAATGGGGATTTTTGGATTAGCTTGTAGGTGAATACGAATTCGTTTCGATGGACAGGAATATATTAATACTGTTCTCATTTTGTATTGAATTTCAGAAGTCGCGATCGTTATAGTTTTCTGTTGGTATACGTTTTTCGCATGAAATTTAGCGCAGAAGATGAAATTTAGTGAAGAAGAAGGAACAATGAATTTATTTAGATGTTTAAATTGACATCGCGAAGTAATCGGAGATTAGAATATTGACGGTGTAACGATAAACCTTCTAACTGCTAAAAATAATTACGCCAGGATTACATTAACGGATTCCGACGTAATCACGCCGCTATTCGGGTTTTTATTATATAACTGGTTATTTTCAAGGAGTTCCGAGGGAAAAGTATACCTATCAGAAAGTTTTAAAGGATACGGCTCTCGGCGCCGAGTTATACTTGAAAATTGTACCGGGTATAAAGAATAATCCCGGCGGGCGAAGTGAGCATTAACGCGGTGCTCGAGAATGTTAATGCCCGCGAAGGGACGAAGGGAAGGAAGCTGCATTATTGGAACCGAGATTCCAAATAAAAGAGTTCTGACAGCGCGACGAAGGAAGACGCACGAAAGAGAAACACTTGATCCTATATTACAACAATAACTTGAGCTGGGAGAATAAATCGGTATTTCATGCGCCACGACTGTCATGGCGGTCGTCGGTATTACATACGATCGTTGTTTTCTCAGTAGCACATTAAAACAGTATCATTAAATTCTCTTAAATGTCCGAAACAAACGGAGGCATGAATTCAATTTGGAATCTCGCAAATTAGAGAATTAAACAATTGCCACGAGTAAGAATCAAGAGAAAATTACTGAGAACTTCGTACGTAAACATTGATGTCCCCTATTCAAATTTATTTTTGCGAATACAATTTATTTATTATTGTATTTATTTATCGTCACATTTCGTTCTGTATTTTCAAGAAATATCTTACCCACTGTTTCTACATTAAAATCTTCCATTGTTCTCCAATTCTGTAATAACGTATTAAAACCATTTAACTGCCGGTCACCGATAGTCCACGGGCAGAGTTCAGTTATCAATTATCTCGAGTACAAAGGTCGGAGAAAGAAAAAGCTATGGTTTCGGGGTCCGAGTCGATCCTAATTCCCCCGTAGCGAAAAATCCGGGTCCGACAATCGTTTTCGAGAGGTAGAAAGGATGTTATTGGCCAGCTGGAAGGCAATTCGAGGGAAACAAGCGGCCGTCGAAAAACCGCAGGAACGTTCTACTCTCTGGTTTCGATCAGTTGATTCTGGCGACCGGTGTCGCGGGAAAGAGAGAGGACGAAAGAGAGAAAGAGAGATGGCAGCGGAGAACGGGGTTGGCTTTCGGCGGAACGCCAAATATTTATCTCGCATCGTCGGGATCTCTCTTTGAAAGCCCAACGACCGTATTATTGCGACAAATCGCGAGTTCCAGGGTTAACTTTCGTGCGGCAACCGATTGTTCGATCTTCGGCGCGCATCTTCTCTCGGCGATTTTATATTAACACATTGCGTACCGGTAACGAGAATTCTCGTTTTCATATAAGGACACTTAGCTATGCAACTTCGCTGATTACCACAACGTCGAAAAAAATATAAAATTTAATTCGAATATTTTGCTTGTGAACTGTATTGATTTTTTAAATAAAATATTAAGTTATATTCAAGTTTCTTTTTAATTTTATATATTTTGATATGGTTTCTTGATTTTTTCGGTGCTTTGTAACGTGTACAGCTATTCCTGACCATGTGTCCCTTAAAAATATTTTGTTACAAAAATTAATGTTACATGTGGTACACGTGGCACTGAACGTGTTAAAATATATTACATAACAATATGATATCTGAGTTTTTCTATGTATAGTGGTGTAAGTTGACCTCAGTGAAAATTGCAATATGTTAATCAGTCTGAACCGAGCTATGAGGAACACGTTCGATTGTAAACTATAATTGATATAATTAGCATGGTAATACGTATGTCAATGAAATATTAATTATAATTCAGAATCATAATATCATTCATTTTTCCTTATTTAGATGGTATAGTAAATATTACCTGTTCCTCGATTAAATATTAATTATAATTATGGAACAGCTAATGTTTACTATACCACTCAAATAAAGAACGATAAATTATATTATGACTCTTTATAATAGGAAACCGTTAATTATCATCTGAAGACTGTATTCATTTTGAGAAGCTAGAGATAGTTAGAGAACTCTTAGGTATGAAACATTAAATGCTAGTACCTCCTAATTTTCTGTCTGTATGGACAATTTGGGAATATTGTACATGTCAGCGTTTTAACAGATGGTTATATAAATTGTTAGTCAAAGAGCACAGTTTCTAACTGCTTAATAATAAGATAGTCTTAAGTACAGGCTCGCGAGGGAGTGAAGATTACGCGAGAAATTATGTCTTTCACGGGGAGCACGTTTGAAATCTGATTCGATGATACAGTTCCCTCTTTGGATCACGTTCTGCCTAACCCGGTCAATTCCCTTTCCCGAGGAATGAGAAGCGAGAATGGAAAAAAAAGAGGGGAAAAAGAAACGGAAGAATAGAGGAAGTGACCGGCTGAAAGGTAACAAGCGAACTTTGTCAAAGTATCCGCGTAATTAGCTAATTAAAGTTCCCGGAGCAATCTCCGTGACGAGAAGATCGTCGCTTTCCGCGGATTCTAATTGAACCAGTTCGCGAGATAAGGTCTTTAATTTTAACGTAACGGACATGGCGAGAAGTCACGAACCGGTCGACGCGACCGGATGCAATTAGGGGCTCGAAACAGCGTGCCCCGGTAACCTCCGAAAAACTATACTTATCATAACTGCGGCAATTTCCTCGGTGAATTACATCGAAATTCGTCCGTGTAACTGAAAAGCCCCGTAGATTTTGCGCCACGTTCGCTGATCATTGTTTTTACTAGGGAACACGGAATTTTCGCGTGATGGAACAACGACGGGGACAAGAAGTGGAGTTACGAGCGTGAACGATAATCAATGAAATGCTCATTCTGCAGATAATTATAGATTATTTATAATTTAGATTATAGAACATTAAAGAGATAATTACAGAATATGAATGACGATGTTTTAAATAATAATTTCACGAGAGAATCGTGTCATTCTTGTGTCTGTTTCATCTGTTATTAAATATTTAATAGTTTGATTTAGAAGTTTCAACGAGTATTTATATTTTAGGAAGAAAAGTGGGCGTAGCTTTTGCTCGAAATTATTTTGTATGTAGAGTCTACGGAATTTTCTTTTCAGTAAATTGGAACACTACGCGATCTGAATTTAGTAACAGCGAATAAAATATACTTTCGTTTCCCAAACCGTCATTATCATTATTTCTCCTGTCAAGCTATGCGAAATAAATATTTGTTTCTAAAACTTACACCAGCTTCTCTTCAATATTTTCTTTTCTCTCTATTCGCGCGATTCTCCGCGTAAATCGGTCAGGTGCATGATAATCGAGACCGTCACCGAAATAAGCGCTGGTAGCGAACGTATTAAGTGAAGAAGCAAATTTGAAACGAAGAATGACACTCACAATACATCTATGGGGGACTGGGGAGACCACTCTCGACGAGGCCGTGCCTTGTTGGGCATTTGCGCTGGTTTGATTGTTCACATCCTTGAGATATCTGGAACAATCAGAGATAAACAAACATCACACACCATTTTACAAAAATCCAACAACTACAATTTATCAAATAATACCACGAAACTTAAAAAGAACCAGCACACCTCTCTCCAACAGCGAATCATCGTCGAAGTTTCACGGAACCGGGTCCGTCAGACGCGGCGATACGAGCGGCCATCGAAGAGCGCCCCGTCCCGCTTAAACAGAATTTCGTGCAGGGACAGGTTGCGCTGGTTATGAAAAATCAAACGATTCCGCGGACAATTCGCCGGTTGCGTTATTGCCGGGGTAAAATGAAAAGCCGGGGCCGCGGAATGGCGCAACTTTTCCCATTCCGCCGGTTGACGCTCGCTGGCCGGCTTCCGGAAGAGTTAAGAGCACATCGGTGTCCGCCGCGGCCATTATCGCGGCCCGGGGAAACTTTCGGATTCATATCGCGCAACTCCGCTGTGCCTTTAACTGAATGTCTCTGTTAATTCATTTTTCTTTTCTCCGAGATTCCTTCGGCGAGCCCCGGCACTTCGAGCGTTATTCCATTCACGGGCGCCGCGCTGTGCTCTTAATTCGCGCGCCGCGCATAGAACGCTGGGCCGCCGTGAAACGCGACGGAAGGGAAGACGATTCGCTGATTATTTTAAGTAATAAATGCCTCGCATCGGCGCGAAGACCTAGTTTCCTTCCACTTCTCGCTGCGTCCCGGCTCTCGCAGCCGGCTTTTCTTCGCCGCTGGACACCCGGATTTGCTGTTCTAGGATTTAGAGCGTCCTTTTAAGGACGACAGTGGATGCTATTTCACTGGGAAGCTTGCGGGAGCTGGTTTTACTTGGATACGTTGACTCCGAGGTCTGATGCTTTCCTTCTTCAGTGCTAAGTTACTGAATCCTGTTCAGCTGACACAGATGTATCTTCATTCTGATTAGTGGCAGATCCAGATACTATTTGGATTTAGATCTGGTGTCTTCTTTATTTGAAGATTTGCTGAAGAGTACAGCTACCCTGGTAGCTTTGGACTCCAGCAGTTCCAGTGCTACCTTGTCTTCATCATTCCTCTTTTCATAACTTAATTTCACAGCTTCCCCGTACCTCCAGTACCTCTCTCGAAAACTACTGAAGACACTAGTTCTGTTCAGTAACCAACCTACCTAAATCGGTCAATCGCAAAGCATCTTTATGCCGCGGACAATACGTTCCCTTTTATTGGAAAGTTTGCTGATCTGTTTATCCTAAGCTAGGCTGAAATAGGTTCGATGTTTCTAAAAAAACCAATACCCTCTCTCCATTCCTGGACATCTAGATTTTACAGTCTACGTTCCAGAGCACCTCTATCGCACGGCGAATGGCATCCGTCCTCTCGCTCGAGCGCGCGCTCAAGATTATGTCCCATGAACCCGCCGATCCAAAGATACCAGCCTCCTCTATTCTTCGGCGCGAACCCGAAGTGTCTCCTAAATCCCGGGTCTCTTCAAAACCAATATTATCCTCTTCCCGTCTCCAGACATCCAGCTTTTATAGTTCGCATTTTAGAGCGCTTACAGCGTCAATCGTATATTCCTTTTCACCGGTAGGTTTGTCGACTCTGACCCATTCAGACCGTCTAAATTGCGAGCTTCCGGTGCCGGTATTTCCTCCTCCTCGTTTCTGGGTAACTAGATCCCCGAGCACCAATCATTTCTTTGCTTCATCCCCGGGTAGATAAACTTTCGAACAATTCCGCCGCTCCATGTCTGGGCGCCTAGATTTCATACACGAAGTTTTAGAGCGGCAGCTCTATGTTAATATAGCAATGACGTCTTCCTTGTGTCTGGATCATGATCCACTGACTCGGAGACAGCCGAGACCCTGTGTCAATGTTAAGCTGCCTTGGCCTTTATATTCCGAAAGCTCGCACCAATACCAGCTCGTTTTCATTATTGGACACCTGGGTTTCATAATCTAGATTTTACTGCATCCTTGTACAGCCAATATTATCTCCCACCCAGTCGGAAAGTTTGCTGAAGATTATGTCCTGTGGACTCAATGACTCAAACACGCGAACCTCTCGTTCTCATAGCTAAGCTACCCCTGACCTCGGGGTCCCCGAAGCTTAGCAACGCTAATACTGTCCTTGCTTCATTATTAGACACCTGGGTTTCGCGGTCTGGGTTCTAGAGCATCTTTATCGCGCTAGTATAGTCTCCTGAAAGACCAGTTGAATATCCCGTGGACCGGCTGACTCGAAATCTAGATGGTGACATCTCGATACCATTTCCTTTTCATTGTCGGCTACTTGAGAGCCATGAGTAGATTAACCTCTCGCGGAAGACTCTTTGACGCGTCGAACGCCGCACGATTTCATAGAGGAACATACGCAAAATGGGAAAAGTATAATATTAAATCATTCTGAATGTCGCATTAGGTAGTATTATTTATAATATAGAAATGTTTTCAAGTAATCAAGGTTTAATTGAATTAACTATAGTAATTCGAATGGGTCAACGTGTTAAAGTACGCGAAGCTTGCAACGTATGAAGCTAAATTATACATCGAATGCTTAAACAATAGTAGAAGAGGGAAATATACGCTGATCACTTGTTATTCATGTAATTAAGTCATTCGTTTGCAACTTAGTATCCCAAATATGAAAATTTCATCTGACCGAAATGTCGACACTCGTCCGCAAAGGAATATTTCCTGGCACTTGTAGTTGGGTTTTGTAGTTTTGTATCTGTGCTTATAGTTGATTTCGAAGATTAAAGAGTCGTTCACTGAATTGAAAATTACTTCCGTTGACGAGGTAATGCATTTTATTGCACTGTCGAAAGTTCTTTCAAGGTTGCGGGTCAATGTAATAGATTCTAGAGCATCCTTGTGCCGCCAATAGCAACCCTCTTCATCGGAAGGGTGGCTGAAGACCTTCGCCCGAGTACTCTTTTCACAACAGCTTAATACACAACCTTCGTAAAAGCCCACTATAATGTAGAAAAAGAAGACCGGAGCGATGCAATAACCGCATTCGAACTTGCCGAGCAATCCAATCCTTATCTATCTTACATCATAATATTCTTTTAAATTACATTCTACTATCAGTCACCAATAACTGAAGTAAAAGCATCCATAGAACAAGAATTCTTCATTCTCACTAGCAAATTGTTCACCAATGTAACATTAGTTTTAAAAATCTCTCGTATGCAATGAAATCAACCAATGGCGAATACATACGTCAAGCAATGGAAAAGAACTATATGTTTATTTGAAGAAATCAATCATTAACTGTTGAAAAGGTTAATATTATTTGAGATTTTAAGTCGACGAGTATACTCGCCGAGCAATGAAAAAGAATTATATGTTTAGTTGAAGAAATCAATCATTAACTGTTGAAAACGTTAGTGTCATTTTGAGATTTTAAGTCGGCGAGTATACTCGTCGAGAAATGAAAAAGAACTATATGTTTATTTAAAGAAATTAATGATTACCTGTTGGAAAGGTTAATATTATTTAAGGTATTAAACTAACGAGTATACTCGTCGAGAAATGAAAAAGAACTATATGTTTATTTGAAGAAATGAATGATTAACTGTTGAAAACGTTAACCTTATTTAAGATTTTAAGTCGACGAGTATACTCGCCAAGCACAGTTGGCGGATTAACGAAATTTATTCCAGCAACATCAGTCGTGAGAGGCGTCGCACGACAATGGGTCGAAGGGGTTGATTTCAATGAATGAATAAATATTGGGAAATCAGACGGAGAACGAGGGAAAGGTAAGTGGCCAAATAAAACTCGTCGGATCGTTCATCTTCGCGCGCCGGATGGGAAACTCGTCCGTTCTGTTCCTCGAAATCCGATTAATTCCGTTGACGCGGGAACGACAGTGCGCATTGTTCGTTCGTTATCTATTCATCGCGGGCATCGTGTTGTGCTCCGTGAAATCCGGGGAAAAAAAGGGTGGGGAACGGCGAGGGCGGAGGCGGAGGAAATGGCGAACGATGGAATTTAGGTCGAAGTAGCACGAAGATGCTGAAACAATGGAAACGGGAATAAATCGCGGACGATTCGCGCCTGTTCCCGTTTAAATTCACGCTTTTGCGCGTAATATGTTTTCGTTTGAGTTCTACGCTCCAGTTTTTTAAGCCGCCGCCCTTGTAATGAAGCCACGCGGACGTGCGAATTTTATTCCGAGGGAAATTTCCGTTCCCTTCGATAGACGAGGAATTAAATCTGTATTTTTCATTATGTTCGTTTTGTTGGTGTTCATGTGAAAATCTTGTTTTCGAAGTCTGTTTTATCAACTTCAAGAGATCCTTGAGTTCTTCGGCTTTGTAGTCATTTTAGAGTGATCGATTTCATAGGATTTCATCGGAGAATGAAATTCTGTTACGAGAAAAATTCCATGTTTTGTTAAATATATTATATTATTGAACTACTCAAAAAGTTACGAGAAAAATTCTATACGTTATTAACTTCAATATATTAATGAACTACTCAACTTCATAACGATTTTATAACCATTCGGATCCATTAAAAATTCATCATAGAATAAATTCTCGTTACACGAAAAATTCTCTACATTATTAACTTCATTATATTGCCGAACTACTCAACTTCATAACGATTTAATAATCATTCAAATCCATTGAGAATTCATCACGAAACAGAATCTCGTTGCACCATCATATTTATCATACTTTCATAACGACTCGGATCCAATAAAATTCCACCAGAGAATAAAACCTCGTTACAAGAAAACTCCACTCTATTAAATCCGTCGCGTCAAACCATTGAGCTCCATAAGAACCTCGCGATCGTTCAGAATCAATGATATTCACGGAATGAAACCTCGTTACAAGAAAAATCCACTCTATTAAATCCATCGCGTCGAACTATTGAGCTCCATAAGAACCTCGCGATCATTCAGAATCAATGATATTTCATCGGAGAATGAGGTCTCGTTACAAGAACGGGTTAACGAATCACGAACCGGCGAGGTTCAGCGAGTTTGCGGTTCGACAGAGGCTTAACCTT